GCACTATATTGAATAAGAGTGGAAAGAGTAGACTATCCTTGTTCCTGATTTTTCCCCAATGTATTACAATGTTGGCTATAGGTTTGTCACATAATAGCCTTTATTGTGTTGAGGTATGTTCTTCTGTTCCTATTTTCTTCAGGGTTTTTAATCATGAAGGGATGTTGAAATTCTCTCAAGAGATTTTGTTCTACATCTTTGAAAGGTTATGTGATTTTTGTCCTTTTCTGTTTACTAGCTGTTCACATTTAATCATTTATGCATGTTGAAACATATTTGCATCTCTGAAATGAAAATAACATGAGTATGATTTTTTAAAAATGTATTGTTGAATTTTACAAATAATTTATTGAGGATTTTTTTTAATCTTTGTTCATCAAGGAACGATTTCTGTACATTTTTTATTATGTCCTTACCCAGTTTTTTTTTTTTTTTTTTTGTCAGTCCTGGGTCCTGAACTCTGGACCTGGGCACTGTCCTTTAGCTCTTCAGCTCAAGGCTAGTGCTGTACCACTTGAGCCACAGTACACTTCCTGCTTTTTCTGTTTATATGGTGCTGAGGAATTGAACCCAGAGCCTCATGCATGCAAGGCAAGCACTCTACAACTGAGCCACCTTCCCAGACCTACTTACCCAGTTTTTATTTCAGAGTAATATTGACCTTATAGAATGACCTTGGAAGCATTCGTTTCTTTTCTGTTTCATGGAATAGTTTGAGAAACGTTACTTTTAGTTTTTCTTTAACAGCCTGGGAAGAATTCATCAATGAGTCAGTCCATTTTTTAAAAAAATAAAGATACTTTTTATTACTACTTCAATCTCTTTATTGTTTATTTCTAGTTTCTATGTTGGCAATGTATCCATTTCTTATAGATTTTCCAATAGATTGGAATACAAGTTTTCAAAATGTTCCCTAAGATTTTTTGTATTTCAGTGATATCTATTATAGTATCATTCTCACTTATTTTTATTAATTTGGATTTGCTCTCTTTTTCTTTTGGTTAGATTGGCTAAGGATTTGTCAATCTATATTCTAAATAGAGACATAACAAAAAAAACCACACACACATACAAAAAAAGACGTAACAAAGGGCAGAGAAAGAGGCTTATTACATGGCACAAATAGCCATGGAAAGACAATACTAAGTTCATCTTCAGGTGTCTTCAAGGTACTGCTATGAGGTAAAGGTTTTATTTATTCTATTTTTTTTGTCAGTCATAGGGCTTGAATTCAGAGCCTGAGCGCTGTCCCTGAGGTCTTTTGCTCAAGGCTATTGGTCTGTCACTTTGAGCCACAGCCCTACTTCTGGTTTTCTGGTGGTTAATTGGAGATAAGAATCTCATGGACTTTCCTGCCAGGGCTGGCTTCTGAACTTCAAACCAGAGATCTCAGCCTCCAGAGTAGTCAGGATTACAGGAATGAGCCGCCAATGCCTGGCTGAGCAAAAGGTTTTAAACTACAAAGAACTGAAACCAGAAGGAGAGGATATGCATAACTATTAAACAGTCCTGGTCAAAGTATTTTTCCAGTGAAAAGAATCATAGTCCTAGTTTTGGGAGGGGTTCTGGGAGATTGTTACGAGTCATTTTTGCTTGGCAGATTGTCTGTTGTGATGAGGTTCTATTGTTCCTTAGAGATATCTTAGTCCCATATCATAAACATGTTATTGATTATAGCTAGAGGTGTGGTTCAGTGATAAGGGCACCTGCTTAGCAAGTATAAGGCCTGAGTTCAAACCCCAGTGCTGTAAACAAACAAAAACAAAACCAAGGGCTGGGAATGTGACTTAGTGGTAGAGTGCTTGCCTAGCCTACATGAAGCCCTGGGTTCCATTCCTTAGTACCATATAAACAGAAAAAGCCAGAAGTGGCACTGTGGCTTAAGTGGCAGAGTGCTCTCCTTGAGCAAAAGAAGCTCAGGGACGGTGCCCAGGCCCTGAGTTCAAGTCCCCAGACTGGCAAAAAAAACCCTACCAAAACAAAGATGTTATTGATTAGTACTGTCCTTCCCTGTAACCCAAGATGATTGGCTTAGAGCAAAGCCAAATACAAAAAAGTTAGCAATGCCAAGCTTTTCTCCTGCTCCTCCTCCTCCAAGAAAGAAATGAATGCTTTTTTAGCAAAAAATAAGCTCCTGAGCACCTTTTACTATATAATTTCTATCTGGAAATTGTCTTTTCTAATAATTATTTTTGTGCTGTCAAAATACTATGAACGATCTCTAGAAAAGGAGACCATCATCATTTGGATATTAATGTCTAAGGCATAAGATAATGGGGTTTAGGTCCATTCTTCTACCTAACGTTCAGCTATTTCTTCCTTATCATTCAGATGTTCAATTCTCATAGGAAATTGTCAGCCTCACTGTTTTTTTTTTTGTCGGTCTTGGGGCTTGAACTCTGGGCCTGAACGCTGTCCCTCAGCTCTTCAGCTCAAGGCAAGTGCTCTACCACTTGAGCTACAGTGCCACTTCCGGCTTTCTAGTGGTTTATTGGAGATAAGAGTTTCATGGACTTTCCTGCCCGGGCTGGCTTTGAACCGTGATCCTCAGAGCTCAGCCTTCCAAGTAGCTAGGATTACAGGTGTGAGCCACCAGCGCCTGGTGGTATTCTAGAGGCAGGCACAGTGGCTTCTGCCTCTAATCCTGCTACTCAGGAGGCTGAGATCTGAGGATTGTGGTTTGAAGCCGGCTGGGCAGGAAAGTTTGGGAGACTCTTTAATTAAGCACAAAAAAAGAAAAAAAAGGAAATTGGAGGTGGAGTTGTGGCTCAAGTAGTAGAGTGGCTAGCCTTGAGCAAAAAAGCTGAGGGAGAGTGCTCAGGCCTGATGAGTTCAAGACCCAGAACTGGCACCAAAAATAAATAAAGTATTCTAGTAGATGTATTTAATATTATGCTGAGTATGTAGTTATGACTGTGCAGCAACAACAGAAGATTCAAGAAGAAAATACTTAGTATCATTTTCCCTTTGAGTTACTTACTTCTTTCTGATTTTCTTTTTCTTCTTCTTTCTTTTTTTTTGGGTCCAGTCGTGGGGCCTGAACTCTGGGACTGGGCACTATCCCTCAGCTCTTCAGCTCAAGGCTAGCGCTCTACCACTTGAGCCACAGCGCCACTTCCGGCTTCTTTCTTTTTGCTTATGTGGTGCTGAGGAATCGAACCCAGGGCCTCATGCATGCAAGGCAAACGCTCTACCAATGAGCCACCTTCCCAGCCCTGATTTTCTTTTTCTTAAATAGTACTGAGAATCAAACTCAGGGCCTGGTGTTTGATAGGCAAGTGCTTTACCACTGAACTGTATTCCCAGCTCATTCTACTTTTAACGAACAGTTGTCATTAAGCAACATAACATACTTATGTACATATTGAAAGGTCAAAGTCTAAGATGTTTCTAACAGTAGCATAATGTTTGAAATTATTTTGTGGACTGGTTGTATTATACAGTATGTGAGATTTTAAAAGACAGCTCCTTACTTCAGGGATCTGTGTAGATGCTTTACAAGAGCACAAGTCCTTATGCAATCTGCTTCTGTGCTAAGGGAGCTTATTTCTTTTCTACTTCTCTTCATTCATACTGGCTTACTACTTGAACACACTGAGCACAAAGAGCTTTGCATTTGTTAACCATCTGTCTGGAATACTCATTTATTTCTAAGAAAGGGTGCATATTTTCTTTCTAATGTGGAAGTTAAATCTAACTTCTGTTTAAAAAAGAAACATAGATGAAAGCACATACAGGACCCTACACGTATGTACATGATGAAACTGACTAAAGTATGCTATAAGAATGGATGGGTTTTCATGATACAACTCCTTGGACCAATTAATAGACAGTTTAACAAAATGAGCATCAAGGAGCTGAAAACATGCTTCTCTGAAGGGTGTGGGTGTGCGTGAATAGAGAGAATAGTGAGTACACTGATGCTCCTCAGTGTACATACATGAAAATGGAATTTGAAAAGTTTAGGAAATGAGTGAGGATGGGATCGATGGGAAGGGAAAGAATGATTGAAGGGGTGACACTGATCAAAATGCATTGTATGGATAAGTGGACATGTTAAATTGAAACTGCTATTTGAAGATAATAAAAATTGCAGATCTCATAGGCATTAGGACTTAAGGGATTGTTTGAATTCATATTTAGAAGTCTTCAAATGTTTTATTTCTAGAACTTACCATTTAAAGAGATGAAGCACCTTTTTTCTGCAAAGGGTAGAAATGATCAACATAGGCTAATAGGCCTCGGGAAGCTGAGAAACAGTATTTATTTCTGTCCCATCATGTATCAGACAATATGTGGCTCTTATAAAGCTTGAGTCAGATATTCCCTACCTTTAAAACGATTGCTTTCTGACCTCTTGGTTTCTCTGTGCTATTATTTAAAAATATGCTTCATAATTTTCTGTAACATACTATCTAGATTTACTGTGTGTGTGTGTGTGTGTGTGTGTGTGTGTGTGCGCATGTGTGCGCGTGCGCATGTGTGCGAGTTCTGGAAATTGAACTCAGACCTGTGTACTGTCCCTGAGCTTTTTTACTCAAAGCTAGCACTGTACTACTTGAGCCATAGCTCCATTTCTAGTTCTTTTGGTGTTTTTAATGGGAGATAAGAGTTTCATAGACTTTTCCTGCTTGGGCTTTGAACCACAATCCTTAGATCTCAGCTTCCTGAATAGCTAGAATTAAAGGCGTGAGCCACTGGCACCCAGCTAGGGATTTACTATACTCAACCTCTTTTATATACATTTAGTAACTTCCTAGAATATCTTCAGTGTACCTTTTTTTTCCCCCCTTCTAGTACTAGGGTTTGAACTCAGATCCTCCTGCTTCCTAGACAGATGCACTACCACTTCAGCCATGCCCCTAGTCTAAGAAAAAGCATATTTCTTTATCTTCAGGACTGCTGGAATTTTAGTAGTTTTTAGTATTCTATCTAGATGCTCATTTGAGAAATACTTGCCTCATCAGATGTATTTAAGACTTTTTTTTTTAACTTTATAGACAGTTCAAGAAGAAGAAAGAGAGATCTACAGACAGCTTCTACAGATGGTAACAGGGAAACAGTTCTCCGTAGCTAAACCTACCACACATTTTCCTTTACACCTGTGAGTCTTAAAAGCATCTTTCAAATAAGTTTAATTTTGTAATTTGTTATTTGATATTGAATTAACTGCTTCTCTTGCTAGGTCTCGATGTCTTAGTTCCAGTAAGAATACATTGAAAGAATCACTGTTTAAAAATGGAAATTCTTGTGCATCTTATATCATTGGCTCTGATACTTCATCATCTGGATCTGCCAGCATTTTAACTCCCCAAGAACAGCTGTCCCACAGTGTATATTCCCTATCGTCATATACCCCAGATGTTGCATTTAAATCCAAAGATTCTGATCCTGGCCATCAACCTCCTGGTGATCAACCCTCGATTCTGCATCAGTCAGATAACTTACCAGCATCAAATACACAATCTGAAGGTAAAGAGGAGATCATTTATTTTTAAACCTAACAACCAATGAACTCTATTGGATCGATTACAGGCAACATTGTAATATATATACATAATATAATATTAGTTAACACATAAGAAACTAAAACACAGATAATTCAGTTACCCATGCTATAAGAAAATAAAAACTACAAATAAGAATTCTTTTTTCTTTTCCTCCCTTCTTTTTCTTTTCTTACATGCAAATAATTGCATGTAATGCTTTATTTTTACTAAAAAAAAATGTGTTGTATGACAGAAACATACATTGTATGGGAAATACGAGGATCCTAGATGGGAACAAATATACCACTTTGCACTGTTTAATTACATTTATTTTACCACTTAATAGTCAATCATAGCACTCTAGGAGGATGATTCCTCTCTTTCATTAGTATTTTACACAGAAAATAAATGATAGGATGATAAAATTTCTACCTTTTGGACTTCACCTGTAGTGCCTTTTTTCTCTTTTTTCCTCCTTTTTCCCTCATTTCATCTAATTCAGTTTTATAAAACATCATGGTCGGGGCTGGGTAGGTGACTCAGTGGTAGAGCGCTTGCCTTGCATGCATGAGGCCCTGGGTTCGATTCCTCAGCACCACATAAGCAAAAAGAAAAAAGCCGGAAGTGGCACTGTGGCTCAAGTGGTAGAGTGCTAGCCTTGAGCTGAAGAGCTGAGGGACAGTGCCCAGGCCCAGAGTTCAGGCTCCACGACCGGACCCAAAAAAAAAACCAAAAACCAAAAAACACAAAAAAAAACACAAAAAAAACCCATCATGGTCTCAAGGCTTTTAAGAAATCTCAGCACATTCTTATTCCCAGAACCAGGAAGTGGAAGCACAAGGAGCAAGCACAGCATGCTGAAGGATGCTGAAGGACACATACAATGCAAAGTTCAGGAACTTAAAGCATCTAGGAAATATAACTTGAAAGAATTTTATTAATGAAATGTTTTTATATTTCTTTGTTAGGGTCAGACTCCGTGATTTTACTCAAAGTGAAAGACTCACAGACTCTAATTCCCAGGTAAACTTAGGGGGGAAAAAGTCTTTTTTTTTTTCTTTTTTCTTTTTTTAATTTTGGTCCAGTCTTGGTGCTGAACTCAGAGCCTGGGTACTGTCCCTGAGCTTTTGTGCTCAAGGATGGTGCTCTGCTGCTTGAGCCTCAGCTTTGCTTCTGGATTTTTGGTGGTTAATTGGAGATAAGAGTCTTACAGACTTTGCTGCCCAGGCTGGCTTCAAACTTCAATCCTCAGATCTCAATCCTCAGGCTCAGCCACTGCCGCCCAGCTGTTATGTGGTTTTTGGGGTCAGACTTGGTTTTTGATATTGGCTCTTTCAGGCTTCATGTGGTTTTGGAGAAGTTATTGTTCTGAATCTGTTTGATTACAATAAAATGCTAATATTAATACCTTACTGTTGTGAAGAATAACTTGCAGTAAAGTGCTTAGAAAAATGTTTTGCAAGAAGTATTCAAAACTAGGTATTCTTTTTTGGAAGAAATTGATCTTAGATGAAAGAGTTCATCAGTGGTTCTGTTTGAAATCTGCCTTTCCTTTACATAAGATTTCTCCTAATGATGACTCAAGAATAACATGGATCTGGGTTCCACTGGCTAGCTACTCTCATGTGGCTGAGGTTTGGAGGATTGCAGTCAAATGAAGCCAGCCCAGGCAGAAAAGTCCTTGAGACTTTATCTCTAAAAACCCCTTAGTTTGGGGTTTGCGAAGAAAGAAAGTTGAGAAAAACAAAAAGCTTTAGGACAATTTCCGTGCCTTGTGACTCTATTATTCACTTGGGTTGTCCACAAGAGCCACATGAATGGGACTAGCCTTTGGAATAGAGTTGTGTTGTTTCTGTACTTTGGCTCATTGGCTTATTATTATTAGTAAGTTGATATGGGGAGTGATAGTATCTACTATCATTTGGTTGGATATAGTTTTTTGGTAGTAAATTTTTGCCAATACCAGGGCTTGAACTCACTTGCTCACTTGCTTGCTCACAGCTCACATTCTTGCACTTGGGCAATACTTCCAATCCTGCTTTTTGCTAGTTAATTGGAGGTTTGAGGACTTTTCTGCCCAGGCTGGCTTCATACTGAGTTCCTCTAAGATTTCAGGCTCCTGAGTAGCTAGGTCACTGGTGGAGCCATTGGTGCCCGGCCTTTTTTTTTTTTTTAATTGTGAAAATACTGTACAGAGGGGGCAAGATAATGAGTACATTTCTTATCAAGCATTGTAGTCTCCTCCTTTGTTTCCCCTTCCCATCCTCCCTCTGCCCCCCCCATCCTCCTCCCCCTATCCCCCCCCACCAAAGTTGTCAAGTTCGTTTTCGACATAACGACTTGTACATCTCATTGTTGCAATGGGTCCACCTGTATCCCTATTTAAACAATTTGTTTTTTCCCTTCCCCTCCACAAGTTATACCAACATCCAATACAGTGAAAGCAGGGGTTATACTGTGGGGGAGGGACATACAAAGCAACAAAGAAATAATCTTATAAATGTGTTAGAAACAATCGCATGAAAGAAAAAAACATTGAATACGTATCTTAGGGTTCATTTCCCTTACATCATTATCTGACCTGTTCTGCTTGACTCAGACATATACTAGTCCAGACTTGAATATTTTGACTCAGACTGACAAAGACTCTTTAAGAATCCCTAAGATTTCATTAAGTCAGTGTGAACCAATTGGGAAGAGTAATTTTCTAGCTTAATGTATTATCTTCATAATGATGTGCTCTTTCAAATAATGCCATTCTTTCATGCACATAGGAAACTATTCTAGACAATTTTTCAGTTGAGGTTTGGGTCATCTTTTTTTTTATTTATATATCTATATTTGATTCATATTTCTGTTTTTTCATTCTCAATTACAATTTATTTGTGCCAGTTACTTTTTATTCTATACTTGTAAAATAGTCTTAATAGTAAAATAGTCTTAGTGTTTAATAGTATTTGAACTGTTTAAATGATTGCTTTTGTTGGTAAAAATATTTGAATTTTTTCTAAGCCTTCTGCTCATTTTTCTTTTTCTACCTACAGTCCTACCTTGTTCCAGGCAGAGCTGTGGATCAAAGAACTGTACGTTATTGTTTTTGGTATTTTTTTCCTTCTCAGTAACTTTATTTTTCAGTTAGAAGAACTCAAGCAATTAATTGTATTTAGTCTGTTGTTATAAGAGTAAAAATTCTATTTGTACTTTTAAGTTGTTGAGTTTTAAAAATTCTCTTAAGGGGGGGCTGGGAAGGTGGCTCAGTGGTAGAGTGCTTGCCTTGCATGCATGAGGCCCTGGGTTCGATTCCTCAGCACCACTAAGCAAAAAAAAGTGGAAGTGGTGCTGTGGCTCAAGTGGTAGAGCTCTGACCTTCAGCTCTTCAGCTGAAGGACAATGCCCAGGCCCAGAGTTCAGGCCCCACGACCAATTAAAAAAAAAAAAATTCTCTTAAGGTTGGGATATTTTTATTTGCATGTTCATTAAGCCTGTAACAGTTGTTGAAGCTAAAAAGAATTAATAAATACCTTTATTATGACAATTGGAAAAACTAACTTATTGAATAATTTTGGAAATCTCTTTAAGAAATCTCTTTAAGCATTTCCCCCAGTTGCATGAACTTCAACTTTTCCAAATCTGGACATAGTAACTTTGAAAAAATGAACTATCAAAAATAAAGTATGGGGGAGGTATAAAAAATTAAAAAATAAAAACAAAAATGCAGTATATTGGGCTGGGAAGGTGGCTCAGTGGTAGAGTGCTTAACTTGCATGCATGAGGCTCTGGGTTCGATTCCTCAGTACCACATAAGCAGAAAAAGCCAGAAGTGGTGCTGTGGCTCAAGTGGTAGAGCACTACCTGAAGAGCTGAGGGATAGTGCCCAGGCCCTAAAAAAAAAATATACAGTATATTAATTAGAAACTTGTTAGTATCTTTTATCTTCTTTGAGATCAATTCCATTTGGGGATTGCCATCATGAAGTTTTACTTTTTACCATAATTAGAATAATATTTACCAAATAAAAGGAATGATCATTCAGGAAGCTGAGATCTGGAGATAATGGTTTAAAGGTAGTCCTGGCTGACTTACTCCACTTAACCAGCAGAAAGCCAGAAGTAGAAGTGTGGCTCAAATAGTAAAAAGCCAGCTGTGAGGAGGAAAATCTGAGTAAGAGCCTGAGGCTCTACATTCAAGCACCCTAATCATCCCTCATTAAAGAACAAAAGGTGACAAATTCCTATAAAACTAGTCTGTATGTACTGAACAACCCATCTATATAGATAATCATTTCAGTTAAAATGATATAATAGTTTTAGCAGCTCCACATTGTTTTACTGTTTTAAAATGTAATTGTGGGGCTGGGAAGGTGGCTCAGTGGTAGAGCGCTTGCCTTGCATGCTCAAGGCCCTGGGTTCGATTCCTCAGCACCACATAAGCAAAAAGAAAAAAGCCGGAAGTGGCGCTGTGGCTCAAGTGGTAGAGCACTAGCCTTGAGCTGAAGAGCTGAGCCCAGAGTTCAGGCCCCACGACCGGACCCAAAAAAAAAAAAAAAAATGTAATTGTGGTAAGATATAAATTAGTGTAAGGATTTTGAACTTTCTACATGAGAGTTCTTTATATTTAATATTCACTATACAGAAATAATGTGACTGATGATAAAAGGGCAGTCTGTATTTATGTTACTTTTCATTTTCTAGAACTAGTGTTTATGATTCTCGAGCACGGGAAAGATTTCGCCAGATTGAAGAGCAGAAAGCACTAGCCTTACAGCTGCAAAACCAGGTAAAAAAATTGAGTAAGATTATAAAATGAGCCTATTTTGGAAGATTATCTGGATTTGAATAGTTGCTGTTTTGATTGCAAGAGTGTATAGTAGCATAGTATTTTATGATAAGTCTTTCCAGATAGAACTGATCAGTTTACATTATTCAAATAGTGGGTTTCTTTATCCTACTTATTCTGAAGTTCTCTCTGTAGAGATTACAGGAACTAGAACATTCAGTACATGATTCAATAGAACTGCATCTTCGTGTACCTCTTGAAAAGGAGATCCCTGTTACAATCGCACAAGAAACAGAAAAAAAAAGTCATAAATTAACTGATAGTGAAGATGATTTTCCTGAAATTACAGAGGTAAGTACATGCTATAAATTCCTATGTTAACAAATCTTGTTTAGAAAGAATGTGTGGGACATTTTCATACATAAAGAACAGAATGCTTGGTATTTAGATCTTATTGTATACTTCTGTCTATGCATTACATAGCAATTTTCACTATATTTTATTTTTGTTGGTTGTGGGGCCTGAACTCTACGCCTGGGCATTGTCCCTCAGCTCTTCAGCTGAAGGCTAGTGCTCTACCACTTGAGCCACAGCGCCACTTACAGCTTTTTCTGCATATGTGGTGCTGAGGAATTGAACCCAGGGCCTAATACATGCATGGCAAGTACTCTACCACTGAGCCACCTTCCCAGCCCTTCACTATATTTTAAAAGCTTAGTGAATGTCCGGGTGCCAGTGGCTCATGTCTGTAATCCTAGCTACCCATGAGTCAGAGATTGTAGATTTGAAACCAGCCTGGGTAGGGAAGTCCATGAGACTCTTTTTTTTTTTTTTCTTTTTGGTCTGCCGTGGGGCTTGAACTCTGGGCCTGGGCGCTGTCCCTCAGCTCTTCAGCTCAAGGCGAGCGCTCTACCACTTGAGCTACAGCACCACTTCCGGTTTTCTGGTGGTTTATTGGAGATAGGAGTCTCGCAGTCTCTCCTGCCCGGGCTGGCTTTGAACCGCAGTCCTCAGATCTCAGCCTCCTGAGTAGCTAGGATTACAGGCGTGAGCCACCAGCGCCCGGCGAAGTCCATGAGACTCTTATCTCTAATTAACCATGAGAAAGCCAGAAGTGGCACCATGGTTCAGAGTGGTAAAGTGCTAGTGAAAAAGCTCAGGGACAGAACCCAGGTCCTGAGATCAAACCCCATGACCTATTAAAAAAAATGTGTGTTGAAAATTTCTGAAAAAATTGTAAGTGGCCTTAAACTGCCTCAAAAAAGCATTTGATAAATTTATATTTCATTTCATGGGCATTTTTATTTAAGGCAGGTGAATTTAAATTTTTTTATTTTATTATTTTGGTGCTTGTACTGAGGATTTAAATTCAGGGCCTGGGTGCTGTTCCTTAGATTTTTTTCCTCAAAGCTAGTGCTCTTGAGTCTACTTGAGTCACAGTTCCACTTTTGGCTTTTTGGGTTTTGCGTTTTGGGTTTTGGTGGTGATTAATTGGATATAAGAGTCTCACAGACTCCTGTTTGAGCTAGGCTTATAGGCATGAGTCAATGGTGTCTAGCCTGTAAGTTTTTATTCTGAGCATCAAACCTGGGGACTATTGCATGCTATGCAAGTGTTTTACTGTTGAGCTACACTCCAGCCTCACATGTACAGTAATTTGATAACCAAATTGTAAGCTGAGTTGTTTAAGTAATGAAAGTAAGCTGAGTTTAAGTAATGAAAACCCAGTGTGGAAAATTTGGGAACTACAAAGAAGTCTGTGCACTTAAACAATCTGTTCCTTAATTCATACTCTAGAATATAGCTCATTGGATAAGTACTTCATTGTATGTGTAAGGGTCTGGGTCCTGGCTTCAATAAAAAAGTAGTTGAGGCTGGTGAGTATAACACAGTTTATAGTTGTTCCAATTGTACATTTACATTTTTATTTTTATTTTTAAAAATTATTTTTGTCCATTTGTGGGGCTTGAACTCAGAGCCTGGGCACTGTCCCTGGTCCTCTTTATGTTCAAGGCTAACACTACAACTTGAGCCACAGCACCACTTCCTGTTTTTGAGTGATTAATTGGAAATAAGAGTCTCATGGGGTCTTTTCTGCTGGGCTGGCTTCAAACTTTGATCTTCAAATCTTAGCCTCCTGAGTAGCTAGGATTGCAGGCATGAGCCACAGGTGCCTGGCATATATTTACATTTTTAAAAAGTAAAATCTTCTAAGAAAATAGTATCTTAAAAAACTACCCTTTATTCCATTATTACCTTCTATGAAAAATTTTGTTTCTTAAGAAATATTTAGACCAGAAATGTAAAACATGAGGAGGTTCTTTTCATAGTCTTAGGAAATTTAATAGCAAAATGTTATTTCATACCTTAGAAATTAATATAAAACAAAGATCTGAGAGGGGAGGATTAGATGGAATTGCAGGAATCAATCAGGGAAATTACTGGGGAGGAATGTAAACCAAAATGTTCGAAGTAAATTAATTGTAAGTTGACAAGCAGTTGATTAATGATAAATATAGTCTGGAGATTGGTGGTTTGTCTGAAGCCATGTGGCTTAATTTTTGTCATCTTTTGTTTTCTTAGGAAATGGAGAAAGAAATAAAGAGTGTGTTTCGTAATGGGAACCAAGATGAAGTTCTCAGTGAAGCATTCCGTTTGACCATTACACGCAAAGATATTCAAACTCTAAATCATTTGAATTGGCTCAATGATGAGGTACTCTTGAACTTATTTTTGTATACAAGTAGTAGTTGAACATCAAATGGAAACTAAGGGTGCTAGTTCACTGTTTCTGAAAACATAGTCCTTAGATGATCTGCATCAGAATTACCACTTTAAGCTTCTTTTCTTGTAAGTATGAGGAAAGATAGTAGATATACACATTTTCTAATCAGTATTTCAGGGGATTTTTTTTTTTTTTTTTTTTTTTTGTCGGTCGTGGAGGCTAAACTCTGGGTCTGGGTGCTGTCCCTCTGCTCTTCAGCTCAAGGCTAGCACCCTACCACTTGAGCCACAGCACCACTTCCAGCTTTTTTCTGCTTATATGGTGCTGAGGAATCAAACCTAGGGCCTCATGCATGCGAGGCAAGCACTCTACCACTGAGCCAACTTCAGGTGATTTTTATGTACTATAAAGTATAGAATTATTGGATTCAGTTTTTGTTTCATTAAGGCTTTGAGCATTGAAGGGAAGAGAAAGCACATTGACATTCATCTTCTTTTGAAAGCATCTGCCTTGCAGTTCCTATCTTTATTTAATAGCCAACTGTCTTGTAACATGGAGGAATACTTTAGGGGTTTTATACAAGAATCCAGTTTTTCTATTTCCCATTCTATGTCTGCTTGCATTGTAAGTGATAAATTTCTCAGTATAGTCTTTATCATGATATTTTTATTTATTTTTTATCACTCCTGGGGCCTGAACTCAAGACCTGGGCACTATCCCTGAGCTCTTTTTCTCAAGGCTTACATTGTATCACTTTGCCACAGCTCCACTTCCAGTTTTCTAGGGTTAATTGGAGATAAGTCTCATGGATTTTCCTGCCTGAGCTGGCTTTGAACTGTGATCCTCAGATCTCAGCCTCCTCAGTAGCTAGGATTATAGGCATGAGCCACCAGCACCTCCTAATTCCAATTAAGTATATTAATTACAGTATGATTTTTAAACTGATCAATCTTATTTCTAAGCCTATAAAAGCCTGTATGTCAGAAGTTTTATGTCAGAAGGATGTTCTCACCATAAAGCAGAGAATGAAGAGTTATTTTAAATGTTTATATGTTCTACTCTTGTAAATAGGTATCCTGGGAAATAGATATTATAGTTTAACATCTCTATTATATAGATAAAAAGAAAAAGGTTAAGAAATTTACAAGATATTGTAACTATTAAGTAGCACAGCCAAGATTCTAATCCAAGCATTGGGTCTTATCTACTGTACCAGGCTGTTCTAGAATCTTAAATTTGATCCATAATGGGATCAAGTATATAGAACGAAAGAATCTTACATTATGTTCAAGATGTTGATATTTTTTTTTCTGGGGCTCTTATTGTTGGTACTACTGGTCAGTTTATAAGGAAATTTCAGGAACTCATCACTTCCTGAGTAATAGTCTTTTGCCAAGAATGATAAGGAATATCTGTTTTGGTACTATGGGGGGGGTTTAGCACCTCAGATATTATAACATTGGTTCAAATAATAGGGGAGGCTCATCAAATCAAGGAGGAAAATGAAAATAAAGAATAAACAAAAATATCCATTAATAAGGTATTTTTGATCTTTAGTCATTTGCTATTTTTTTTTGCCGGCCACTGCTGGAGAGAAAGTTATTTTTAAGAGATTGAAGCTTGCTTGTTGTAAAGCAGGGAAAACCTTCTAGAGGGCAGGAGTGAGTAGGATATGAGCTGAGTTCTTGCACTTCACTGTGAATTCCACCTCAGTAAGAACCCTTAACAGAGGCAGTATTCATCAAAACATAGTATTTTCTATTCCATGAACCCATCACTGGATGTTTAGCAAGCAAAAACTTTGTAGAGAGTGCTTTTCTTCAGATTTCAGAATGTTAACCTTGAAAGTAGTGCTAATTCATGTTCGGTAATGATGAGAACAATTTTAAAAAGCACCATTTAAAAAGAATCATGCAGGGGCTGGGAAGGTGGCTCAGTGGTAGAGCACTTGCCTTGCATGCCTGAGGCCTTGGGTTCGATTCCTCAGCACCACATAAGCAAAAAGAAAAAAGAAGTGGCACTGTAGCTCAAGTGGTAGAGTGCTAGCCTTGAGCTGAAGAGCTGAGGGACAGAGCCCAGGCCCAGAGTTCAGGCCCCACAACCGGACCCCCCCCCCCAAAAAAAAAAAAGTTAAAAAAATAAAATAATAATAAAAAAAAAGAATCATGCAGCTGGGCATCAGTGGCTCGTACCTGTAATCCTAGCTACTCAGGAGGCTGAGATCTGAGGATCACAGTTCAAAGCCAGCCTTGGCAGGAAAGTCCATGAGACTCTTATCTCCAATAAAACCACTAGAAAACCAGAAGTGGCACTGTGGCTCAAGCAGTAGAGCGCTTGCCTTGAGCTGAAGAGCTAGGGATAGTGCCCAAGCCCAGAGTTCAAGCCCCTTGACTGACAAAAAAAAAAAGAATTATGCTTGTTAGGCTTTCAAAGTTATTGCCTTTGAGAAGTCAAGATTCTGATGAAATATTGCATAGCCTTAAATTTTGCTACATATTGGAAATATCATTCTGACTGATGGGACTAAAGAGCAATGGAAATGTTCTTTATCTTTTGATATTTCTAAAAGACAGTTGACTAACAGAACTAAGCATACTGTAGGATTGTAATGTGGAAGTAAAATACTTGAAATGCATAAAAAAGACAAAGAAAGCATTGCTAGTCATTGTAAAAGTACATAATTCTCTTTCTCAGTTGTGAATGCTGTCTTTTCTTTTTTTGAGGCCTGAACTCTGGGCCTAGGCACTGTCCCTCAGCTCTTCAGCTCAAGGCTAGCACTCTTCCACTTGAGCGTCAGCCCCACTTCCGGCTTTTTCTGCTTATGTGGTGCTGAGGAATCGAACCCAGGGCCTCACGCATGCAAGGCAAGCACTCTACCACTGAGCCACCTCCCCAGAGCCAAATTCTATCTTTTATAAGTAGTTTTATCCTCTTTTAAATTCTGTTCTTTCTTCAAATAGATATTACTACTTTTTTTTGTATATCCTGTCAATTTCATAGGCTATATTTAAATTTTAAGTAATACAGTAAACAGCAGCAACAACAAAACCCAACATAAAACTCAAAATGTTCAGTATCCAATCAAAAGTTATTAAGCACTGTATAGTTAACACATGTTAATAAAAACATTTTTAATGACTATACATATGAAGAGGAAGGAAAATTCACATTATGAGAAAAATCATACCACTTAAAAATACAAGTACATTAATCAAAACAAACCAAGCAACTCAATGGCAGCGACGGAGGGAGGGAGGGACGGAGGGAGGGATCGGGAAAGAGGGAACAGCTGACACTAAGCAAAAGGAAAGAAATTACATATCAGGGCTGGGAAGGTGGCTCAGTGGTAGAGCGCTTGCCTTGCATGCCTGAGGCCCTGGGATCAATTCCTCAGCACCACATAAGCAAAAAGAAAAAAGCCGGAAGTGGCGCTGTGGCTCAAGTGGTAGAGCGCTAACCTTGAGCTGAAGAGCTGAGGGACAGCGCCCAGGCCCAGAGTTTAGGCCCCACGACCGGACTCAAAAAAAAAAATTACATATCACTCGATGTGGAAGAAATAACTGTTCATAGAATTCACAAACTTTCTAGACCACAATAAAAACAATTTGTCGCATGAAGATTAGAATGTGTTGTGACTTTACCTAAGTATCACTATGTCACAATATTGTGAAATTTGTGAAATTTATCACAAAAAAATTGCTACTAAAAAAAAACCCACAAGTATCTGGGTTCCAGTGGCTTAAGCCTATAATCCTAGCTACTCAGAAGGATCTACTCTGAGGATCGAGGTTCAAAGCCCGGGCAGGAAGGTCCCTGAGACTCTTATCTCCAATAAACCACCAGAAAACGGGAAGTGACACACAGTGGCTCAAGTGGTAGAGCATTATCCTTGAGCTGAAAAGCTGAGGGACAGCATTCAGGCCCAGAGTTCAAGCCCCATGACTGCCAAAAAAAAAAATACCCACAAGTAAAATGATAAATTAAGCAGGCAAGATGTTAAAATCATTATTAAAATATACATTTGTTCAGGAAAAATGAATCAAAAATAATATGTACTTAGGATGATATAAATAGATACTTTGGAAGAAAAACAGTTGTGAACACAAAGATAAAGCAATTGAAACTTTTCAAATAAAAACACAGAAAAGTGACTGAGGAAAGGACCATCAGTGAGCTCTGAAACAGCACCAGGCAGTCTAAGCAAGACGAGGGAAGCAGAGCATAGGCAATTAAAAAAAAAACTTTTTTAAAAACAATGGCAGAAGATAGCTTAAGTTGGAAAGCTGTAAACTACAGATCCACGAAATTTAGTATATTCTAATGGAAGAAACACCATACTAAAATGTATAGGAGTCATACTGCTGAAAAACAGTTGTAAAGGGAAAACTAGTAACTATAGCCAGAGGTAAAAGGATATATTAGGCTTGCTAGGAGAATGATAACAATAATAGCTTGTTAGAAACTATATAGGCCAGAAGATAGTGTAACTACATCTTTAAAGTAATAAAGAAGAGAAAAGATTTGTCAACATAGATTCTATACCCAGCAATTTGTTTCAGAAATAGCCTTATTCTTTCAGATAAACAGTGCTTATAAGGTTCATCATCAGGAGACCTATACTGTCAGAAATATAACAAATTCTACATACATACTTTCCAGGAAAGTATCATGGAAATATCAATCTATTCTGGGACTGAAGAGCAATGGAAATTTTGATATTTCTAAAAGACAGTTGACTAACACAGCACTAACATACTGTAGGAGTGTAACATGTAGAAGTAAAATACTTAAAATGCATAAAAAATATGCAAAGAAAGCATTACTACTACTTTATTCCATTCTATATGAAGTGGTTTAATGTTAAATGAGATAATTGACTGTTAGTTTGAAAGCATAATGTGAATCCTGGAATAACCACTAAAAATAAGTTTGAAGCTAGTAGAGATAAAATGATATTCTTAAAAATCCAAAACAAGGAAGGAAAAGAAAA